ATTCTGTTCTTCATCTTTTGTTACCTCTTTATCACTTATGGCTTCATTGTTTTCATCATCTTTGACTACCACATTATCACCTGTAGTTTCATTATATTCATTATCTTCTTCATTATCACATGTGGTATCAATCTGATCACCATTTTCTATTACTTCATTATCACATGTGGTATCAATCTGATCACCATTTTCTATTACCTCATTATCAGTTGTCATTTCATTTTGTTCTTCATCTTCTGTTACCTCATTATCATTTGTGGCTTCATTCTGTTCCTCATCTTCTGTTACCTCATTATCACTTGTGGCTTCATTCTGTTCCTCATGTTCTATTAACTCATTATCACTCGTGGTTTCATTGTTTTCATCATCTTCTACTATCTTAAGTGTTAATGAGGTAATAGAATTTGATGAACAGAATAAAACAGCAAGTGATAATGAGGTAATAGAAGAAGATGAACACAATGAAACAACAGGTGATCATGAGGTATTAGAAGATGATAAACAGAATGAAACCACAAGTGATAAAGAGGTAATAGAATATGATGAACAAAATGAAATAGCAAGTGATAATGAGAAAATAAAAAATCATGATCAGATTGATACCACATGTGATAATGTGGCTTCATTCTGTTCATCATCTTCTATTACCTCATTATCACTTGTGGTACGATTCTGTTCTTCATTTTCTGTTACCTCTTTATCACTTATGGCTTCATTGTTTTCATCATCTTTGACTACCTCATTATCACCTGTGGTTTCATTATATTCATTATCTTCTTCATTATCACATGTGGTATCAATTTGATCACCATTTTCTATTACCTCATTATCAGTTGTTATTTCATCGTGTTCTTTATCTTCTATTACATCATTATCACTTGTGGTATGATTCTGTTCATCATCTTCTGTTACCTCTTTATCACTTATGGCTTCATTGTTTTCATCATCTTTGACTACCTCATTATCACCTGTGGTTTCATTATATTCATCATCTTCTTCATTATCACATGTGGTATCAATTTGATCACCATTTTCTATTACCTCATTATCAGTTGTTATTTCATTCTGTTCTTCATCTTCTATTACCTCATTATCACTTGTGGCTTCATTCTGTTCTTCATCTTCTATTACTTCATGATCAATTGTGGTTTCATTGTTTTCATCATCTTCTACTACCTCTTTATCACCTGTGGTTTTATTATGTTCATCATCTTCTATTACTTTATTATCACTTGTGGTTTCATTATATTCATCATCTTCTTCATTATCACATGTGGTATCAATCTGATCACCATTTTCTATTACCTCATTATCAGTTGTCATTTCATTTTGTTCTTTATCTTCTATTACATCATTATCACTTGTGGTATTATTC